CTCAGCGGCAAAAGTGCCTGCCTGGCAAGCGCAAGGTCGTGAGTTCGGTTCCCGGTACCGGAGAAAAACAAAAAAAAAAAAAAAAAAAAAAAGAAATCATTCAAGTAAAATTCAGTAAGTGGTCAGCGGCTTAATTTTTACAGTGAAACTACAATTTCCAAATATAATGCATAAATGCTGGCACAATAAAGAGCAAGCTCTAACTTTAAAGGAATATCTTACAGAGGATTTTTATTTAAACACTTTCATTTTAAATACTACAATTTCTATTAATTTTTCACTTACCTTTGTGATATTTTAAAATTAAAATTTCTTGAATTGAATGAAACTGCTGTGAAGTTTTCTTATATTTGTTAGAAATTTTAAAAATTTTAATGTTTCTGCCACTAATTCAGGGTAAGATAATTACAATGGTCTGAAAATGACAAATTATTGATCAGACTATTTCTCTTCTTTTCGCTTTGTGATAACAAATTTATAATATATTAAAGCTCAAAATGCATCAAGGAATATTTTTTCTTACTAAAGCAGCCAGAATTTTTCATTTTCATATGACCTGATGTGAAAAAATGCATTTACAATGAAGTTGAAAGCAAAATGAAATAATAGTAGCAACAATGGTAACAAGAACAAAGCAATCACATTACATTGGTATGGGAGGCAATGGGGAATAAGACTCCTTATATTGTTATTTTTCTTTGATTGATATTTTCTTTATAGATGTGGCATTGGACCCAGTTCTGTAATTCTTTGTCATACAGTAAAGACTGTAGATGCATTTTCACTTTGCATATGTCACCTGAACCTTCGACTATTTCTACTATCTCTAATAGTGCATCTAACAGGTTAAAATTAGATTTTAGTAAAGACGCACTGTGCACCAGTTGGTATATTTACTCCAGAACTGTAACCAAGAAAAATTCCATCCCTGTACCTTACTTAAAAGATTGTTTAATGTTTTATTTTTGTCTTTTGGATTAGCTGTAATTGCAGAGAAGGCTTCATGGCTCAGAATGACAAGCATTATAGCTGTGGTTGTTCCTCCAGTTGTAATGACAGGTTTAATTTAAAACTGTACCTTCTTCTCACTGAGATCGTCTTGAAGCCAACCACTAAGAATTGCTATCGGGGGCTAGGAGTTGGGTCATTAGATAGAGTGAAGATAATTTGGTCTTCCTAGGAATTCAGACTCTGATTTGGGCTTCGTGGTGTTGTAATCAACAAAACTAATGAAATACATGCGCTGTAAGTTTGGAAAGTACTGGATTGTTTCCAAAGCCAGAGTCAAGTTACCTTGTCATTGCTCATACTTGATCATCATAAAATCATGTCTCTTCATGCCTGTATTTTAAAATCTGACTCCATGAGTATGCCTGTCACTTGCCTACCAAATCCAAAAGGGTCCCACAAAATTATGTCATATTGACCTTGAATACATGGTACAGAGTGAAAAATTCTCCCAGAATCCTTCTCTTAAGGAATTATGAATATTGACACCAATATTTGCATTTTCCAGGTAACATGAAGTAGTTTATTATTCCAGTATATGTACTTAAATCTATGTTTTGAAATGCAAAAAATTATTACTATATTTCTTGGTAAACTTCAGGTTGTGCTAGCCAGTAACTATTTATTAAAATGCTATGTTGTGGCAAATTCTGTGCCAGATACTGAAAGGTGGAAAATGCCAAAATGAGAAAAAATACACAGGAGGATTTCAAAGGAAAGACAAATAACTATGTTCAAGGTATCTGTCACTGTTTTACCTCTTTAAAGAATTGTTTGACAAATTTGAACTATAGAGATGAAGAAAAAACAAATACATACATTTATTGATTTTAATGGCAGTTGAAAAATAAAGTATTGAAATTGTAGTCATCTCTGACTTCATAGAAGTTAGTCTACAAAATGGGTTAAAACTCTATGAGGGGCTCCCTTCACCCCTAGAGTGACTATGTGTGCTGTGCTGAACCCTGGACATCTTCAGAAACCCTGGTGAGCCACCCACATGCCTCCCCCACTAGTATGTGAGGCAGCTGGAGCCCTGGACACCTTCTGGGGCCTCAGTGGTCACTCCAAACATGACCCACAACCCCTCAGAAGACCAGCTGAATGCTGGACAGAGTCTGTTTCCTTAAGGACTCCACCCTCACCTGTCCCTTGCTGGCCTGGAAACCAGGCTGAGTCCTGGGCAATATCTGAAGCCTCAGTGACCAGGACCTGAATCCCCCATGCTTGTGGAAGCTAGGCTGAACCCCAGAGAGCTTCAGGAAATCCAGTGAGCCTCCCCTGCCTGTCCCACAGTGGCCTGGGAGGCAACTGAATTCAAGAAAGTTTTCTGAGCATCTGGAATCCCACTTTGCCACCACACACTAGCACAGGAGCTACAATGAGCACTGGGGATCTTTGAATCCTTACCCCGCCTCTCCCAAACAATCATGGGAGTCAGGCTGAGCACCAGGGAACCTTTAGATCTTCAAAACTGACAAAACAAAGGAGCAGAATGCAATCTCAGACCTCTGTACCACCCAGAACAAGTCCAGGAGACATCAACACAGAAGAGCCTGGAAATCATACACCTGAAATTTCTGAAAGGATAGCAAATGAAGTAAAGAAACAACTCTATGCTGGGTGTGGTGGCACACACCTGTAATCCCAGCACTTGGAAGGCTGAGGCAGGACGATTGTTGCAAATTCAAGAACAGAACAGCCTGAGCTGCAAAGTGAGCTCAAGACCAGCAAGAACTGCGTAGCAAGACACTGCCTCAAAAAGACAAAAAAAGAAAAAAAGAAAAAGAAAAAGAAAAAGAAAAAGAAAAAGAGAAAGAAACAACTCCGTCATGGCATAGAAGACATCAGATCAGAAATAATATCTCAGGTAAAAAAAGAGAAATGACAACAATAATGAAAGAATTGTTTAGTATATCCAAAGAAGACATTGTCAACAAAATGGAGGAGCAGGGACAAATCACAAAACCTAGAGTGAACAATATAGATGAAAACTAGAATGCATGAAACAGATTCAAACAGATGTCCAGGAAATTAAAAATTTCATCGAAGCTGACAAAGCTGCCTGAACGAAGCTGAAGATAGACTTCCAGACCTTGAAGACAGCATTATCACTAATGAACACGAAGGGAACGATCTCTTAAAAACAACAAGGAGCCAGGAAATAACAATTCAGCAACCACAAGACAAAGCAAAGAAAGACAA